CCCCTCCCCCCGAGCCACCCCTCCCTCTCGGCCCTCCCTCGGATGTCACTCCTCCCGCTGCCACCGCGCACGGTGTCCGCAGTCCTCCTCCCTGCCTCCCTCCAGCCGGGGATCCGCCAGTGCCCGCGTCGCCTCCCCCTCCTGGGCAGCAGCGTTTGCCTTCTGGCGGCGGCGCCCCTGCTGACCCCGCTCCTCGCCAGGTCCCGGGTCTGTGAGTGTGTAGTTCCCCCCTTAGTGATCCCCAAGGTCACCCCCCCTCGCTGTCCCCCTCAGGGCCACCTTTTGTTTAATGCCCCCTCCCCCTAATTCCCTCCCTCCCCTTTATTCCCTCCCTCCCTGGATCCTGGTCTGAGTGTCTGGGGCTCAGGGGTGGCAATGAGGAACAGACAGCAGCTTTGAAAGGCAGAGGGACAGAGCTCCCTTTACAGAAAATGTCGTGTGTGTGTGTGTGTGTGTGTGTGTGTGTGTGTGTGTGGTCGAGAGTTCACTTTGTTCCTTTCCTTTCTGGAATTGTATGTCAACCCTTAAAGTACAATGTCCCCTGGTTCCTTAGAGTCTAGGGGAGACTAGCCTGGAAGCTGCCTTTTCTCCTGAACTTCTCCCTGTGGAGGGTAGAGCCACCTGGGTGGGTTTGCGGACTCTGCTGGAGCAGTGAAGCCTGGTGGTTCTCAGGTGGAAATGCCCTGCCTGGTCAGACAGGATCCAGCAGGATGTCCGCCTTTGCGCTTCAAGCGGTTCTCGTGTTACTGGTCTATTTTTAAGACACTGGGGGATTTCTTTTTAGCTTCCTTATTCTCTTTTCCAGAATACTTGTAATAACAGCCCTGCTGTTCTGGAAAAACAATAAAATGAGTACTCCGGTTTGGCAACAGCCTTCACTCCGGCGGAGCTGAATGAACACGATTTTCAACATCAGCTCCCGGGCTTGAGGAGGGTGCCAGAGGCAGCTTTTTTTCCCTGGAGTCAGACTGGGATTAACCATCACTGGGGATGTTGGGGACATCCCGACTGAGCGGCTGCCAAGCGGTAGACCCTGTGAGCAGTGAGGAGCTAGGGGGCCAGACTGAGGAACCTAATCCCAGTAGTGCCGAGAGCTTTCCTCCCTGCTGCGCTCCAACGCCCCCCCCCTCCCCGCCCCCATAGGCCTTTAAAAAGGAAAAATGAGCCACAGTAAGTAGAACTGAATTATATAATAAGATTCTTTTAAGACTGCATCAGCCTCCAGTTATATAACCCTAAAAAATGGACAGT